TGCCTTCACCAATGCCCAAGTCTTTATACCCTTCATGAACTTAACAAATTTTATTTTAATGTCAATTTGTATATACTATACATACATAAATAAGTGCGTATAATACCAAATTTCGGTATTTCAAATATTTTTTTTAACGAATTCACAAGCCTGAAAAATCAGTCGTATATATATACTTAACTCAAGTTTTTGTTGTACTTATTTACTTTCTTCGGGCCAAAGTTAATACACCACTCTATGAGCGTGCAAGGTGTAAAAGAAGAAAGTGGATTTACCAATTTCTACAATATATCCACATCGATAAGTCCGATCAGTTCGTTATCGATGGATATTAAAAATGAACTTATATGCGTTATGAAGGAGGCTTAATCCACGATAATTGACATAGGCCATGAGGTTCCTTTTCCTATGGATTAAGCAAAGTACCACGAAGCGTTTATTTGATCATTATAGTTTGGTGGTTCGTGCACTCTGCAGCATACAGACTTCAGCATCACCGGAGGCAACTCATCTTTCCTGTTTTTATGTTAATAACATTTTCTGAAAATTATCGGCAGAACACCTTGTTCTTATAATCAGAGGACATATATTAAAGAGAAGGACCGTGGCGTGCCGATTGCCGTTTGTTCCACCTACGGTATTGCTAAGAGACTATTTCACCTCTATACGATATTAGTAAGGGACTATTTGACCGCTAGTTGACAGCGAACTACCAGAGACTGACAAAAGGAGTCAAAATCTGCCCGCGGTGGTGAAATAGTCTCTTATTTCTTTCGTTGATTCTGGCAGTTCACATGCTGTCCGCAATCGGTCGTTCTCGTTATTTGACATTCTCTGCTTATAATCACATAATTGCTGGTGATTCTGATTCGCCACCTTATATATTTTAGCAATCAGTGTGTTCGGGGATCAGCATGGCAGTAACAATTGTTACTAAATATTACTGAACCGCGTTCGGTGGGGCAAAAACTCAGTAAAATTTGTGCTGAGAGCGTGTAATTTTAACATTTCGGTATTGAAAAATTATGATTGACATTTCTCCCCAAACAGAGCTTATAAAGTCGCTGTTATCGCTATTACACTTGGGATATCTTCTCCTCATAAACCTTAATATCAGCCAGCAGTACCCTACCTTTGTAACCTCAAAAAATAAAATAATTTCAACATTTAATTAAAGTGAAAATAAAGGCGAAAGACAACTTCAACCTTAATTCTAATGTAGGAAATGCAAAGAAATTTTTTAATTCTTTGTGTATGTTTTTAAATATTTTTTTGTTGTTGTTTTTGGTATTTTATTATTAAATATATTTAATTTAAAATTTATCATTTGCTCTCCCAGTGTAGTATTTCTGATTTAAGTCAAACAATATTCTCTTCTCTCTGTGTATACACATATATATATGTATGAATGTATATATGTATATTAATTTGTATATAAAAAAACAAACGCATAACAAAAGAGATGAATGAAATTGAAGGTAACAAAAATTAGAAACAAAATTTCCAGTAGAAACAATTGGACAATTGAAGGCGAGTTTGCTTGACTCAAATAGTTGTTGTTTGCTAACAAAATGTTTCATTTAATTTATGTATGTATGTGTGTATGTATGTATATTCGCATCCTTGCTTCAACTTCCATAAGTATGTAGTTGTATGTAATACATATGTATTATTAACATATGGAATTTCGTTAAACTATGAAAATAGGAAAATTTTAAAATGTGTTGTTGGTTTTTTTTTTTTCTTTTTTTAATTTATTTAAAATAAAAAATATTGATTTCAAAGCGTTTATGCTGCTTTAACTTTGGCATTTTCCATTGATGCGTGTTTTTCGTTTTACTAGAAAAATTAAAAAGCAATTAAAGGTGTTGTTGTTGCTGTTGTTGTCGTTAATAATTTTTATACGATATTTTTTTTTTTTTTTGGTTTCTCTTCATTATGTTGATGGTGTTTTAACATTTATACAATTATATTAAATTTACAGGTTGTTATAATTTGTTGTTGCTGCTTGTTGTTCTTAATACATATATGGATAGACTCCACGTCGCAAACAACTACAAGCCAACTTTTTTGTTTTTGTTGTTGTTTTTGTTTTTGTTTATATTTTAGAAAAGCATTGTCGTCTTCACAGTTACAGAACACTTTAATAACCAGCCAATTCGGCGAATGTGGAGTCCATCTCGTCGGCGAGCGACTTGTATCTGTCCTTGTTAACGCCCAATTCGTCTGTGGAGAGGGGAAAAATATGAAATTAATCAAGTTAATAAATAATCAAGAGATTTTTGTTTGTGATTTTGCCTTTAAATATAAAAACATACAGTGCACATTATTGTTTAGAAATATATTAATATAATTAATAATAAAAACAAAATAGTGAAAAATTTATAATATACAAAAGTGGTGCATGGTGCAAGCAAAAAACTAAACGTTAACGAAACTAATGTATTTAATAATTAATGTTAAATTAAAAAAATTTAGACAAACATATATGTATGTACATATAGACAAACAGTATGTAGGTTTGTAATGAAAGGACGCTCTCTTGCCGTGAGCTGAAAGACTCGCAAAGTATTTCTTGGCAAACAATTTAAAAGCTAACATTGAAAATTATCATAGAAATTCGGATTATATTTCCATAAACCACTGTTTCAACTCAAACATTAGATGTGTTAAAAGACAGGAGGTGTTCAATAAACGCAATGATATTATTCCCTTTCGCTAACAAGTAAAATTAACTCAACGAATGGAAATCGTTTCGTTGCGGCGCCATATTATCAAAACGAAATGAAATCGTTATCGTTCATTTTTTGAAATTTCTTTTTACTATTATTTCACAGCACACTCCAATTTTAAGCTTTAACATTATCTGTTAACGATTTAACATTAACGACAACTTTCAGTTTCGGGTAAAAACGATAAGAAATTTATTTTCACAACTGCTTTAACGAGAACATTTCCAAATGTCTCAACCGAAACGATAGAAATTTTCCCATTAACGTAAAAGTTATCGTTAAAATTCGTATATAACTTTATTAAACAGACAAATCGGACTTCATGGTTTTATGCTTCAAAGAATATTTTAAAAATTTTCTTTTATTAATTAATTACACATTGTGGATGGAGGGATTTTTCAACAATAATTCTTGGGTTTCCCAAGCCCCAGATGCAACAGTTTTGCTTATTTACCTAACCATCGAGGCCTTAACAGTCAAGAAGACTTTTTGATAAAATTTTTATAATGAATTTTAATCATTTCAAGATGTTGTTGAAGCGTGTTTCGTTCCAGCTTATAGAGTGACATCTACTGGAATAGCAGGCAAAATAGCACCTCTTATTGGAAAACTCATTACAGATAATCTAGGCAAGAAGATGCCACCGTGTAGACCAGTTATATTTACGGGTAATAAAGATATATTCAACCGATTCAAATCATTAACATAATTTTAATAAATAAATTTTATTTTGTGTTTTCAAAAAGATCGCTATCGGTTTCTGGAAAGAATTTAATGTCAGGGAAATTCAACAAAAAATACGACTTTTTTCGAATGGGTGAGCAACTGGTCTATTTCACCAAAGAAAGGATAGTGATTATGTTAAACTAGGCAAAAATCTAATTGTATAGCAAATGTCTAGTAAGTTGAAACAAAAACGATTTTTTCGAATAAGGCGGCATGTAAACAACTTTCTGGGTTTTCTTCTTATTATTATTCTTGCTTCGCCGGAGGTCAAATCAATAATTTTTCATAAAGAAAATAGAATATTTTTTAAACAAATTTCTTTTTGAAAAGTAACATTGGTTTTAATTTTAGCTCGATTATGCTTAATTTTTATATCGATTAAGACTTCTTTTTAATGAAAAAATAAAAGTCAAAATCAAAATCAATGTTTCTATACTCTTTAGTGCAGCAATATATTCAGGAGTCTATCATTTTCAACTGCCTGTTAAAAATAATAACTCAAAAATTATTATCAAGAGAATAGTAAATATTTTCTAAATCATTTTCAAGATTAATTTTAATTTTTTTCCTTTTAATTTTATCGTGAATATGGCAACAAGGCTTGTAGGAAACAAGTTTACGCCGACATCAAATTCATATGTTTAATGACGAAGTTGGTTCAATTTTATGGTTTGCCAAAATCTAAAAAATAAAGTTTTAGCCATAAAACGTCTAAATATTTTGGCTATAAAATTGTAAATTAAAATTGAACTAAATACCGTCAGAATATATTTATGCAGAAAAAATGTATTTTAATCTTCAAAAATATTTAAACTACAAAAATTAAAATTATTTTTAAACAAAAATTTGATGTACGAAAATAGTTGAGATGACCAAAATTCTGTATAATCTTTGTATAGAAATTTAATACAGAAACCGAATTATGCATATTCTCTTTAACAGATGCCAAATCTTTCAAAAATGGCTGATTTCTGTTTGACAAAAAAATTTTGAAGTTTTAATAATAATTTAACGTAGTGCATTCAACGAAATTTAAAGTTTATAATATATGTATAAGTAGAAAGAAAATATTATAAAACAAAATTTGTAATATATGTTTTCTCCGATACAAGTGTTTATAGCTTGCATTTCGCAAAAATTTTTACCAATTTTTACATTGTCTTGTTCACAAGCCAAAAATTTTTTGTGGCAATATTGCATAAACACCAAGTCTAGTCCACTGTAAACATGACGAATTTGGTTCGGTGACGTTAACGGCGGCTGTAACCATCTTTCTAGAAACCTTGGTATGGAAATTTCAAAAAAAAAAAAAAAAAAAAATCGCTTCAATCAAACCAAAAAAAAAAAATGAATAAAATATTTTAAAAACGAAAATAATTTGAAATTCTCGTCTCATAAATTGTTAATTTTTTCCAGTGTAGGATAGTTGGGTGTGGAGGTGATGGTGGCAAGCAACATTGATTATCTACCAAACTTCAACAAAAAAAGAAATTCATAAAATTTTATGCATTCAACTAACTTATCATATCACCTTTTTGTACATTTTTACAGAATTGAGTTTTCTAGGTCACGTCACATTGTATTTGCTTTTTCACACTTTCGCATTTATTTTTATTGTTGTTGTTGTTGTTGTTGTTATATACACAGTAAGTAAAATGTAGTCAGCAGTAGTTGGTTAGCGGATATTAAAAGCGCAGCTGACGAACGTAACATCATTACCAGATACAAAAAAAATAATAAATAAATAAATGACGAGTGGGACGAATATTTACAGTGTGGTTGTGGTGACTGTGGGTGGCAGTTTGGGCAGTTTGGTAATTGATTAAGGAACTCAAGTAGCGAAATGGTGTTATTTAGAGTTTCAGTGATCATTTGAGGAGTGTGGGAAAATTTTTTCCCAGTGTATAAGTGTGTGTGAAGTGACCATGTGTGCGTGTGTGTGTGCACAGTAAATTGGCCGTTGAGGCAATCAAATTGAATTTTCTGTACATATGTATGTATGTATGTGTTTAAGTTGTGGAAATTGCGATTTATGTTTTTGGTTTTTCATTGGTTTGGCAAAACATTTTTCAAAACTACTATTCGATTCAATTTTTTCGTGTACATATGTATATCTGAATGTAGTCGTTTTTTGTCGTGATTAAATGATAATCGAAAAAGATATATATGTATGCATAGGTGGTATTTGATATTTAATATCCAGTAAGTTCGGCAAATGTTGAATCCAAATCATCGCAGATTGCTTTGTATTTTTCTTTCTCATGGAAGAGACGGTCTGCAAAAAGCATTTAAATATATTTCGCATATTAAATAAGAAGCACTAAAAGCAAATTACTATTGTTAAAACAAAAGCAACAAAAATGTTGTGGAAAAATATCAAAACCAAACACTACACCAGCGCGGTGTTGAATATTTACAAAAATGTGTTGCTAATTCTATCAGTTTATGTACAAACTTTTTTTTTACAAACTTTTTTTTTTAGCGCAATTAAAAATATTTATATAACCAACTAATTTGTCAGTTAATTAATTTAAGCTGAGCTGTTTGTTAATAAGCTCCATATATTACAAAACAAAAAAAAAATAAAAATAAAATACAAAAACATAATAGTCCACTCAAAAACTTTTTCAGAGAGTTCCGCACACCTTCGTCTAAGAAGACAGAAAAAAAAACATCAGTTTTATGGAAAACCTTACCTTCTAGCCTGTCGACCTCCTTTTGCAGACGCTTCACTTGCTTCTCAGCATGTTCGGCGCGCTGTTCGGCTTCCTTCAATTTCACGGACAGAGTCTTCATTTCGCGCTTGAACTCCTCAACACGTTGGTTGGCCTTCTCCTCGGACACTTCCAAGGATTTCAACGAGTTACCGACGACCTGTCATAGAACGTTTACATGTTGTTACATAAAAGTTACAATTTTCTTCTGTATGTTTATATATACGAGGTAGTCTTTTTATGCACGTGGAATGAGAGGACAAGGAAACCCATAAAAATGAAACTACAGTTTATAATTACTCGGGGCTATAATATAGTTAAGCAGGGTAGCTAACGCAACGCTGCTAGGATTTTAATAATGCTTACGTCGAGTACTCCAACTACTTCTACAAGTTCTTTCTACTTTAGCCGAATATCATCGAGGACAATTTTTTCAACTTTTTGGGTAAGTTCTGGCGTACTCACCTCGATGCTTCTGCTCGTCCTCGGATTGCTTTCAAATATTCTCTCCCTTGTTTAAATAAACCGTGCCACTTGCCTATGATGGTTTTGCCCGGACAAGAATCGGCGTAAACCTATGGTCCTATGGTTCCAACTAATTCGCCTTGCTTGGTAAGGAAATTTCGATTTTTTCCAAATTTTCAGGCATGAAGCCTCTTATGTTTACTAATTATGAGTCCATCCTAATGAGCCTAATCACCGCATTACAACCCACTCATTTCGCATACATAAAAATGTTCCCTCGTATTAGCGTGTTTCTTGCAACAATCTCCTTACCTTCAATTCTTCCTCAAGTTCCATGATCTTGGCTTCACCGGACCTGACACGATCTTCAGCCACTTCCAACTCATCTTCAACGAAGGCCAGCTTGCGTGATACTTCATCGGATTTGGTATCAGCATCTTCAGCCAACATACGGGCTTCCTTCAATTGGTTGGTCAATTGATCCATACGTTCCTCATCCTGCTGTGAACGGTTCTCCAATACTTTGCACATACTAACAAATGCCACAAAAAAAAAACATATATTAATTATTATTGCTTATGTATTGCTAATGTTTTTATGTGTGTGTCCTTGTTGTTGTTTTTTTTTTTGTGTATAACTAACCGGTTGTTCTCATCAGCGGCTTGTGTGGCTTCCAACAATTTTTGTTGAGCACTGGTTGAGCGTTCTTCGGATTTTTCCAAATCTTCCTCAATCTGTTGTACCTTACGATTCAAGGTGGCTACCTCAGATTCAGTGGTGGTCAATTGTTTCTCTTTCTCCTCCAATTCGCGGTTGGCCTTCTCCAACTGTTCCTTGGATGTGACCAAGTCAACCTCAACTTGTACCAATTTCTTTTCCAAATCGCGCAATTCCTCTTGCAATTTGTCGGCGCGGGAATTGGCATCCTTAGCTTGAACTTCACAGGTATCGGCCTTATCAACGGCGTTATCCTTCTCAAGCTTCATCGCTTGCATCTTCTTCTTGATGGCGTCCATGGTGTATGTGTTTTGTTTGTTTTACTTAAAGGGAGGAAATAAGATATGAAGAATAACACTGTAAAGAGATAAAGCGAAATAAATAAATATTAATATATTTAGTATAATATCTACAATATATATATGTATATGTATATGTATGTGTATATGTATATGTATAATTGAAAATATGCTCAAGGGCTAATAAATTTACTGAGTTTCACGTGCGATTTTGTGTTTAATTATTGTAAATTTAATTTGGCATAAAATTCGTAGAAAATATAAACTACCGGGTTATCCATTTTGCAGTTTTGAAAATAAACATAAGCAAATGCAGCTTCTTTCATAAAATTTATTTCTCGTTATAAAGTTCGAACATCATTCAAATGAAAGCCTCGGGAATTTTCGAAACCTTCGATTCGCTTATAGTAATTTTTTACTACTTTTTATTATATTATATATTGAGCTTTATCTCAGCCACTATTTTGACGAATGTTGATTTTCATGTGCTCAAGAGTTTCCCCGCATAAACACGATCTTTCGTGTAGCCCGACCATAACGCTTTGAATTGACAGTGATAGTCTAGTTGTTGTCGTTTTGAAAGAAGTAAGGTCCAATCACACCTCCAGACCTCTCTTCAATCAAAATGCGACATAAATGTCAGAAAGGCTCGACTCTTAACTAACACAAAACATGTTTGACTTGACAGTTAAGTTTGACAGATGTCAAAATACAACCCTGTATTTTTGAAACCACGAAATGAATAACCTTATATTTCAATAGGTAAAATATTTAAGCTAAATGGCTCCCAAGTTGTTAATCAATAGCAATTTTGGGTCGATGTGATGTCGAAGTCCCAACGATCTGATGCCCACAGGAAAACGACGACAACGTCGACGGCAACAACCAAAGTAGGGGGAAAACCAAAAAATGAAAATTTCAAAATTTACAAAACATGTTGTAAATGTAATTTTGTTTTTTATTTTTTAAACAATTATAATCGTTCATGTATATAAAGTAATAATAAAATGAGTTCCTAGTCCAAAAATTTTCTCAAAATATTTCTTTTTTTCAACACCAGCTGCAGAAGCAAATTATTTGCAGAAAATTAAAATTTATGTTCGTAAACAATTTATTTAAATTCTTTTTTATTTTTGGAAAATTTTATTTTATTTTTTAGAATTTAAATAAAATTATTTGAAAAAATAAAAAAAAAATATTCTTTGATTGTCTATAATCGTTATTACTACAAACAAAAATTGTTATCTACTTATAAATATCTATGTATGTACATATGCACGTATATGAGCCAACACTCGTATGTCCATACATATGTATTTAAGTATGTATATGTAGATATATAAATATATTTTTTTTTATTATATCATAAACAAAACCTTATACTCTATACATTTATACTGCATAAAATAATATTGTTCCAAATATTTTGGTGCCACCCTAATTTTAGCAATGGCTTTACCGCCCACAATAATTCTTGCATAGAACGCTAAGCTTTTTTCTCATACACTTTCTTCAGCGCAAAGCGAAAAGTTTTAAAAATAAATTTTGGTAAAAACAGCCAGTCCAGTGTTTATAGATTGGTTTTCATGTCTATATGTACATATGTATGTATGTACATTTATACAAACCTATGTAGATATGTATACTAGTGTAGCGTAATTATTGCGTGGGCGTTTGGAGAATAGCGTTTTTTTATAGCATTTTCCGCGCTGTTTATGGGTATGCGCTTGAAATTCTAGAATGTCGATTTTCTTTTCTTTTCTTTTCATTTCGTTTTAATAAATGTTTTGTTTTTGTTCAAATTTGTTTAGCTGTTTATGACTACGTATTTATTAAATTGAGTAGTTTAAGTCAAAATTTTTTTAATTTATTAAAAGTATAGTTAAATAAAATAAAAAAACTTTTTTCTGTTACAAACAACAGTTTTTTAAATTGGAAAATGCATTAAAATGTACTTAACACTAAAATTGAAAAGAAAATAATAATTAAATATACTTAAAAATTTAATCTCATAATTAAACTGTTTGAATTGTTTTAAGTGCCAGGCATCTCTCTTGATTTGTAACGGTTTCACTTATATATATACAAATGTGCCTATCAACCAGCTTGAAATCTTTTATTATTATTAGTTTCCATATGTTTGTATGTATGTAGATACATATGTATATGTTGCATATGAAATCAAAAAGATCAAATTAAATTTCAATATTATAAAAATATTTTTTTTTTTTTGGCTGATACTGAGCTCATTTGATGTCTATCTATTTTTACATATACACTAGTATGCCAGTATATACACCTGTTTATACATATAAAATAAATCTAGAAGACATTGTAGGCGTAAAGAATATATATAAAAAGAAATTGCCTACATTTTATACGTAAAACCAATAGTCGGGTGGGGGGCAAAGGGCATATTGCAAGCGAGCGGCCGACAAACTCAAGGATAATTACCGAATTTTCGGCATTTATATATTTACGAGTGCACATTGTGGTGATCGTATTATGAAAGTTTCGAAAGCTTTTCAAGGCGACCGAGTGTATAAAATTTTCATTTTGCCAAAATACGAACAGATTTTCATGCATATACACACACGCATATCATAAATGTGTGTATATATGTACATTTACATATGTGTGTGTTTGTGTATATTTTTGCCTGTGTATTAGTTGAGTTTAAAAATAAAAACTTATGACAATTCTTAATGAAAATTTTCGTAGAAATGCCAATGATTTCATTTTTGAATGCAGGTGTTTTTGTCTTGTCACCTAGCCCACGCAAAAATCGTCTACACCATACATATGCATGTACATATACATTTTATGTGTATGTGTGTACGTATAATGAGCTTTTCTCTACGCACATGTATATATGTATGAGTGTATACTGTGCTTTTTCGCCCGTTACTCGCTTATTTTTCACACTTTTACCAGATCAGTGAGCAGTTCTGCTTGTATTCTATGCTAATGTGCAAGTATGTGTATATGTGTGTGCAGGATTTTACTAAATGTGTGCTTGTATGTGTGTGTGTGTTCTCAAAAAAAAATATATATCAAAATACCGATTTTCTTTTCTTCAAGTTTTCTATATAGAAAATTTGTACATATTCGAATACACGCATACATATGTATGTATGTACATAAATACATTAAAGAAAAAAATTTAAAAATTTACTGTTATATGTACTAGTGCAAATTGTAGCACTTGTGTGCGGCGTATACATATATTGCATTTAGTTTAAGCGATTCAATTACAAAACTCCTTATAAGCGAATTTCCACCAGCAAACCAGCAAGACTCGGTTATAATAATTGTATGTACATACATATGTAAGAAGTAGGTATATGCATAAAACTTTTTATAAGTTGTTAATTGCGTAATATTGTTTTATTTTTTTTTTTTTTAATATGCACAAATATTCATGTACCGTGCAAACATGCATATATGTACCTATATATGTATGTAGGTATGTACTAATGCATGCATGCTTCGAAAAAAATTAAATTAACCGTTTTAATTAAATTAAGAAATTATAGATTTTCACGTCCGCAGGTATGAAGCTGCTGAAAATGTATATATATTTGCACTTTTTGTTTTTTTTTTTTTTGGTTTTTGTAGTACTTCACAGGCACACACACACACATACACACACACGCGTGCACGCATAATACTTTTGTATGTGAAGAAATTTCTTAAGGTAAGTGAAAAATTGAATATAAATGAAGTAGACACCAATGCAATTTTCACTTCATTTACCGTTATTAATATTGGAATTATTTTTTTATAATAATAAAAAAGTTTAATAATATTTATGTTTAATAACTTATTGTAAAGTTCGGTCTTTACTTGCAGTAGTAATTTATTTTTATTTTTATTTATTTTTTTTCAATTACTACAATTTTTGATAATTATTATTTTTTCATAAAAAAATCTGTAAAAGCATTCGCAGCCACTAACTAACCTTAGCGTTCCAAACACACTATACGCTGTCAAAACCCCGAGAACACTGATGCAAGACGAACGTTCCCAAAGCAGAAAGCCCCCAGCCGAATACGAATTGGGCGGCGTGAATGGGTGAATGAGTTGAAAAGGAGCATACACACATACACACCTACACGCACACACACACACATTAATATATATGTATATATATAATATTAACTTACACATATTTATAGCGATCAGTTATACATATACGTACATACATATATGTGCAAGTGAAAGCATACATATACATACATATATGTATTCGGTCACCAAATGTATTAGTGAAAATTTCCATTTATCTCATTTTGAAGCATTTCAAAATTTCCCTATTTTTCTAAAAGTCCAATTTTTCATATGTAAATTGAAAATAAAGGAAGCGCTCACTCTCTCTCATAAAATGTAGATGTATGTATGAACACAAAAATAAAATTATGAGCAAAAGAATTAAAAATAAACAAAAAAATCTTCAACAATTTGTAAAAGAGTTTAGAAATTTCCTTGCTCATGCATTTCAAAAATTTCCCAGCGAAATTGAAAATACTTATTTTGTATAGCAGCGCATTTATAGACACCTGTATGTACATGTAGCGTATATATACATAATCGTATACATATAATTATGTGTATCTACAAATGGCATTTAATCACCTATATATATATACTAATTTAATTTGTATACTTTAAGCAAAATGGCGTAAGTCAAATTAGTCAGAATTTGCAAAAAAAAAATTAATTTTTATAAATTTACATTTTCTTAAGTAAAATATTTTTTTTTCAAGATCGCCAAATCGGGGAAAGAAGTAAGTAATAAAAAAATAAAAACAAATCATTTTTCCTTTTTAAAACATATATTTAACTGCAAGAGCGATATATTTTTAATTAATAATTAATTTTTACCCTCATAAAATAATGTTTTCTTGAAAATAAGATGAAACTCTTCTTGACTTCATCATCGGTGATACTCCTCAGTTCTTTCTCCATTTTTTAGATTTTTTCACTCGGAACCCGGCCTTGGCTGTGGCACGGGTGATTCAAAATATCAATGCCCATCTTTATCAGGGTATCCAACGCAGCGAGCTCTTTTTTTACGGGGGACGTGAGTATTTTTGGCACCCATCTTACGCTGTCCTTAGTCATGCGAAGATGACTGTGCATGATTTTTTAAAATTTTTGTATCGGATACTCCAATCATTTCTGGAAGTTGTTTCTGCTTTAGTCGGGACTCGGTCATCTGCAACTGATTTTTCCAATGCCGTTTTCGATTGTTTCAGGTCTTTCAGAACCTTCAAGTATTTTCTAAAGCAGTGAATCGAGGAGAAATACTTAAATCCTGGAGCGTTTTTAACGTGGTAGGCGCCACTAAATTATTGTGGGGCGTGTTGACGAAGAATCTACCACTCAGATTTCGTCTCCATGAGCTAAGTAATGGGAGAGCAGCTCTTGGCCGAGTTAAACGGTTATTTATGGAGGATTTTGCGGAAGGATCTTGGTTTTCACGTTCGGTGTATGGTCCCCAAACGAAATAGCCACTGATTCCGATTTTAATAAGAAATTTTTGGAGTGATGATACACATCCTAAAAAAGTCACTGTGTGGTGGCTCTATGGGCAGAGGGTCCATATTTCTTCAAAAATGAGGCCGGCCTGAATTAAAGGACGTAGATGTGGACGACCTTTGGTTCTAACAAGACAGCGCTACATGCCATACAGTCAATGAAACAATCAATTTATTAAGCCTGAGTGAGCCTTTGGCGTGGCTTCCAAAATTGTGTGATTTAACACCGCTGGACTATTTTTTTTTGTTGGCGGGGTTATGCGTAGTCGCTTGCTCGCGGAAAAAAATTGGCACGCTGGACTGGAAATTCTTCAAGCCAGCAGCGACGACCTCTTATCCGAAACCGTTTTTAAACTCATTAAGAAATCTTTAACTTTATAATAAAGCTTAATTCTTGCCAATAATATTAAAATAAGACCAGAAAGTTTCCGGAATTTTCTTTTTTTCTCGATATTTATAGTTTGGTTTATGATGAATTCGTTCCAGCCCGACAGACGATCAATAAAGAGTATTATTTGAGCGTTTTGTGGCGTTCTTGCGAAAATATCCGTCGTAAATGATCGGAATTGTGGGCCTTCGATTTCCGGAAACTTTCATGACGATAATGCGCCATCGCTCCGAGCTGTAGTTATGAACGATTTTTAGACTAAGATTTCGTTCAATACCATCGATCATCGGATTTGGCCCATGCGACCTTTTTTGTTTTCAAAACTCAAGTTACCACTCCGTGGAATCCGAGAACTGAGGTCGACTGATTTCAATAGCTGCTGCAAAAAAACTTGTTTGACAGATCACGCTCATTTTTGGCTGAGTAATTAAGGACAGTGCTACCAACTTAACGAAAAAATAAGTACGGAAAAATATTCAGCGCGTGAAGTTTGAATAACAGTTTCCGGAATGTATGTATGTATGTATATGTGTTTTATTCCCACTTGAAAACCGCAGGTCTACAAAAAAAACGCACCCTTTACCACCATTTATAGCGACTTAAGTCACTTTGAAAAAAATATGCATTTATTTTTTTTTTTTTGTAAATACGTATATATGATACTTAGTATATCATCTGGTCCACCAGCCAGCTGTATATGCATATATATTATACATACCTCCGCTTTTCTGTATTTGTGCGATTTTCTTCCCCACACACACACACATCTCCATGAATTTTTGATCGTATATATTTTTATAAAAGAAAATTGCCTCACAGAATTTTCCATACAAGAACTCACTCAGTCCATTAATATTCTGTCAGCATCCATTTACATACGTACATACAATACATACATAAACATATGTATGTACATATGTATGTACATATGTATGTATAGGTACGCAGCACCCAGCATTTAATGGCAAATGGGGATTTGGTACAAAACAACAAGAATATATAAAGAATGTTTATTGGCACTCAAATATGTGTGTAGATATGAAGGTGCATACATATAATATTATATATGAAGGCACATATTTATATGTAAAATATTTAAATATTTTTTAAATGCATAAAAATAATATGAAATGTCGCCACAATTTTTTATTGATATTAAAAAAAAAATATTTCAGTCTTATCTGCTTTTGGGTAATTCATGCCAGAAATAAATAGTTTAGGTGCAACATAATGCATGCACATATACATGTATATATGTATGTTGCATTTTGTTAGTAATTTTTCCGGCAATGGGTCAAAAATTGACATTTTAAAAACAAAGAAAAAAGTTTATTTTTAAAACACAACAAGCAGAAGACGATGTGTAGGGAATCACAGGTACAAGTCGGAAACGGTTAAAAAAGCAGAAATACTCGGAAAATCGAAGTTAAATAAACGAAATTCTCAAAGCAAATTTGTATGAGTGGCCTAAGGCTGATGTTTATTGTTGAAAAATAAGAGTCTCAATATTAAGATTACCCCGCAATCCCATCTAGCCCAGTAAGTAAATTATAGGGCTATTTTCGAAAATGCATCAATCATTAAAAATTACTGTTATTTTTAGGTTTGAAAATATTATAAGACTTTTTTTTTTGTTGCAATTATGCGTATTTTTTGGTTAATTTTTCTTAAATCTTTCTCATCTTTAGCAGTTTTTCCGCTCGCATGTTATATTTGTATACACAATTGTCAGTATGTATGTATGTATGTATTTTCTTTATTTTTAAAAATAGCCAAATTACTCGCAAGATACACAAATATTTTGTATTTCGTATTTGCTAGCTGGCGATCGAAGCTTTCAGTATGCTGATTCTATTTAAAATATATCTGCATACACATATATACATATGTACATGTGTATACGTATATATATATATTTCTGGTTTTATTTTGAAACAAATAGTGTATATTGCTGGCAGTATTAAACATTTCACAAAATATTTAAGCACGCATATACATACATACATGTGTATATATGTAAAATAAATGTTTTCGAAATCCCACAATTAAAAAAAATTATTTTTACTTTTGAATTAATAATTAAAATAAATTTTTGGTTTGCCTTTGGTTTTGAATTTAGCTATAGAATTTGAATTCTGTGGATGTGAAAATTTATTTCGTATTTTAGTTTCTTTTAGTTTTGCTGTTAGTCCTCGTATCGCAATATTTTCCCCGAATTTATTTTTTTTTTTACACACAAAAAAAAAGGAACAGGAAAAAAATTCAAAGCGCCGTGTTGGAAGAATTGTCTGAAATCTGCCGAAAAATCGTTCGAAAACAAAAAAGAAAGTCATAAAAACGTCAACTACAACTTTTGAAACATTTCTGCATGTTTACCTTGGCCTAAATCCTGAAAAACATCAGCGAGGAAATGGTCAATGCAAACCTTCTCTTTGTGAACTTTAAATTCTCCTTCGACGGCAGGAAAACAAGCCTCATCAAACACACTATGACTGAAATCTATATTCTAAGCCCTGAAAACGTATTAAGCTGTATCAACTGACACCAAGAATAATGTCAGTCTGGATATTCAACGTAGAATTGCTCTTGCCAACAGGTTCCGTCTTGAGACTGAGTAGACAATTGAAAAGTAAAGCTCTCTCTCTGCTAACCAAAATCAAACTCTTCAAGTCACTCATCATTCCTGTCATACTACAATATATGGGGCAGAAATCAGTGAATGATATTGACAACCGCTGATACGGAGACTGGTAGTCTTCGGCAAAAAAGTTTTACGAATAATTTATGGTCTTTTGCGTTTTGGCTGACGGGAATGCCGCGGACGATATATCGATGAGCTATATATATATGTAAGCAAGTATTCGATGCAGTACGCGCGGGGGAAACAGAGTAACAGGAAGGCTTGGAAAGATCAGATGGAGCGCAACCTTCTATCACTTGGTATTTCCAAATGGCGCTAGACAGTAAAATGAGAAGAACCGAATGGCGCATGATTTTTGATACGACTAAAATCGCTAAAGTGGTGCCGACACCTATGGAGAAGAACAACACTGGAAATCGCGACGGATCAAGTTAGAACCTCTTCGAGAACTTTGTTACTAAATCAAATCTTCAGACGAAGTTAATATTCAAAATATG